TTTATACTCTCCACAAAAAAAGAAGCCTTTAAGACGATGTTAATACAACTAGTACCGCTTACATTATAATATGTGACTCTTTTACGTAACCATCAGACACAGTCTGATATGCTGTGTTGCTCATGATACAATTATGGAATATATCCAACAGTTGTTATTTTGGATCTTTGACATTGTGTGGTTGTCAAATACTTCATTGAATAATACTAATAACAAGTATATTGAGCTAGTACTCAATAAGAATAATAAGTGTCAGTGAAGATGAGCAGTATGCGCAAATATAGACTATTGGAAATTTTGTTTTCACGTAAGTTTAGTGTATTATCATGCGCGTGAAAGTAAATGACACCAGGAAATACTGAACACATTCGCCCATTTTTGTAATCAACGAAATTTTATTCATTAATTTGTTCAATGACATCGTCTGTGAACTTTGATACACTTAAGGAAGTACAGATTATACTCAATCTTCTGAGGTCTGACTTTTTAATATCTCTTGGGACACAACTTCTTATAGAGAGCAATTTACTTTGTTATCATTGAAGACAATCGTTAGAAGCATTCGCCGCGTAACTCAACTACAGCTTTTGGAATAGTGACCACGATGCATTGTCAGAGTGAGTTTCACGCCTCGTGATTTGGCTGGGCTAGTGGAACAGAGGCGATTTAAAATTTGAGTCAGATTCGTGGTACAGTGCACATATTTGATTTACAAGATATGTAACTCAATACATCTGTAATGCCCTCAATACAAATATGTGAATAAAATATTGATTTCTTAAAAATACAGACTAACTTGGCGGTTTTAGAAAATGAAAAGTTGATTTAGAACACATTTTTGGGCCCTTTGAAAATTTTGTTTAATTCACTAGGCTTGCTACAAGTAGATTTTTTTTAATGAAAGAATTAGTAATCGGCAATTGTGTTAATCATTTGCAAGTTCATAAGGAATCACACAACAACACAAACTAGCCGGCTTTCAACATATATTTCATTAATACTTATATTCAAGCCGTCCTGTAGGTGCTAGTTAAAACTGTGTGTGTTTTTCATATTGCTGTTTGTTTTACTTGTCTCATGCCATAAATACAAAATCGTCAATGCAACACATAAGACGAAGTAAAGCCATAACACAATATATTTAACATAGTTTCAAACAACAAGACGTGGATTACGGAGATGGTGTGTATCAAATTGCAAGTGCAAGTTCTGACAAGATTACGTGACAGGGCTGTGTGGCTATCTCTCTACCAAATGCCAATTTAATGTGCTATCCTGGCGTCAATCCAGGCCCGATCGAACACAAGCACATCTGTATTTTAACCTAGGGGTCGCCAAAGTCGCATTCGTTATTGAATGAATTAAGCTTATGGCAATTTCACCCAGGGTAGAAGGTTCACTTTTCAACCACACGTAGGATTTGAACTCCGTTCTAATGAACATTAATCCGATGCAATAACTACAATGATATATGAATATTAAACACGAAAATCATTTCACAACTGACCAATGTTATAGTACCTTGTGCTGCCCATAAGCCTTTCACGCATTGACGATGAAACAGACTATTTGAAGTGACATTCACATACTAAGACGGCTAAATCAAATAACATGAACTAACAATCAACCCCTATCCAGTTAAATCTAGTACACTGAAAGCCATATGGTTAAAGCTAATATTATAAGTACCTTATTCATAAAGAATATTCGCATTAACCACAATGTTTTGAAAGAAATCTAATTAGCATATTGATAAAATTGATTTTTACTATTTCGTCTGTCTGTCATTCCATCAAGAAAATATAATCGTTTCGGGTAAGCTACACGGGAATGCGACTTATAATGTTAATGATGTCCAATTTACCGCTTCCATAGCAATGAATACACCACGTGACTAGCTACAGCCAACCGCAACTTTCGTTGTGTGTTTTTAATACTGATCATAAGTACATAATTAGTAATAAAAAAATGCTTTATAAATGCTTTTAATTTTGTCAGTAAAAAGCAGTACCAAATGGCACTCACATTCAATCACCGTTGCCTTCAAAGTTGCTATGCGCCATTGCTATTTGAAAGGAAAGAAAGAGATAAAAGTCCTGGCAAGCGCATTTGATAAAATGTGCTTTGTCCTAACTGTTTCAATATAACTTGCAACACCAAAGAGAAAAGTATTTATTTATTTATTTATTTATTTATTTATTTATTTATTTGTTCTCGGCGAACAATTACAACATTGAATGCCTGTGTCGGGTTCTCTGATTTGTGTAGATGCATTTTTACAAGTGGTGACAGTACTCATAGTGCATGTTGCCACAGAAACCTATGCAATGAATGTTTCGATTTGTGTGGAGGTATATGTTATGTTACCATATACAATATAATATATCTATTGACACAGAAATCTGACAGATTGTAATGCATTCTACACCTCCGACACAAGTTAGTTCAAATAGTTCAAATTATATTTGTAGCTGCGTGTTCACATTTAAGCCAAGACAATTAACGTAGGTGAACGCTTATCATTTTTATTAACGTTTTTTTTTTTGTTTGTGTGCCATTTGTTTAAAATTACTAGTGAAGAAAGGTCGACGATTGACTTGCAAACAATTAGGATCTTTCACGGGGCGAATCTACAATATAATAAGCGAAAACAGAATGCCTGTATATCAGCAGGATGCCACGCTATAGCTTTAAGTGTGAGAAAAAAACACGTCAAGTGAATAGATATCAACATGGACAATTGAGCTAAAATGGCGTTAGTGGTGAATATAATGTGGACGATTACTCCACTTGACGACCTCTATCGGCGTTGCCAGGTAACATTTATACGGGAAAAACGTGTTATTTTCGATGATATGCTATTAGGGTTATAATAAACAATCAATATAATTGTGGTTTTTAGTGAAAAAAAATATTCGATGAATAGAGTATAATATTATCTACATTTGAGTTGGTTTTTGCAATTGTATGCGCAACGAACGATTGGTTATTATATTTATGTTTGTACATAGTTGTTTGTATATTAATGTATGTGTTTTTACTTGATATGGATTTGGTGACTAGTTGTTCGGATTATAGTTCTGCGTTTGAATACATAACACGCAATGGCATTTTAAATATATAACGCGTGTATTCACTATCCTGAGACTTCCAGTGACCTTAAGGTTCGATACTGAAATAATAATAACAGTATCCGTGCTCACTCGTTAAAGTTCTTTCAAAACAGCAGTTGACAAATGGAAACAACATACCGGACCTTTGATCGTTAAGCAATCAACAAGAACAGAACA